GGGAAAATGGGTCGCGGCACGCCAAAAAACGCTAGAAAATGGCGCCGCGGCGCTAAGGGGAAAGTGACGGTAAAACGGCAACGGCACGGTGGGGGCCCGCGGCTGGAAAAACATTGACGGCACAAGGGACACATGAAGAAAATTATAAAACGGGACTGCCAGGGACTTGGGAAGTCCCAAATAAAAATTGGACGTGGACCGGGATGACGCAGGGGGCCAAAGGGGGCCAATAAAAATTGTTGAAAATTGGGCCTTGTCGACGGCGCTGCCAGCGGAACGATAAATTGGGACTAGCGTGGGAAGCAGCGGGTACTTGAGGTGTTCCAAAGAGGAGACCACTAGAAAAGATGTGGAGCGGCCGAAGAAAATAAACTTCGCTGTCGCGTTCAAGGATCTCGATGGTAGAAGTTACAGGCACCACTAGTGCCAACACTAGTGGGGCTCAAACAGGTGAAAATGGGAGTAAGGAGCAATAAAAAATTAAGGGGAGGCTTGCCCAACTGTCCGGGGTATTTCGGACTAGCCGGGCGTGAGGAAATAGGAGCCCAATGGGCTATAAGCAAGAAACAGGCTAGCCAAGAAAAATCGGAGCCAAAGGGGCTCAAAACAGAGGCTAGCGGGTGTGAAATGAGCCCCCTTGGGGCATGGGCATGAAAAATTGGTAGGTCAGGGTGTAACGGCCAACAACCGGTCATGAACCTGCTATAATAAAGACTCTAAGGTCTAGAAAGAGAATGCACAGCAAATTGACACATGTCACAACAAAAATAAAAGAAAAATAAAAGAAAATGGGGAGAAAAATGAGAAAAAATTACGAAAAATGAGAGAAATGGGTGGAGGAGAGCATGCCGGCCCATTGGGATGGCTGCAGTAGGGACTGCCAGGTCCCAATGATGACCTCACTCCTCCTAGATTCAAGGAGTGCAGGCCAGATTGCAGAGATATAACCCTCAACAGAATCTGAAATTTGAGGGCAAAAATGAAAGAAAAAGCAAGGGGAGAAATTTCGGTTTTCTTTTGACCGTGGATCTGAAAGCAGATCTTGTGTAGGAGAGGAAATAGCCGTTTCTTGTGGGTCAGCACAAAATGGCTAGATCCGGAATGAGGTGGCAGCCCAAAATGGAAAGAAACAAAAGAGGGAAAAAAACGAATCAGTGCATTTGACCCAAAAAGAGAGCCAGATGCACAAAAAATTGAAAAATTGAACTTAGGGGCTCAAAATTGAAGCATGGGCTACTAGGGGTGGCACAGATTATTGTTGGTCATGGATCTCAGCCAGATCCAAGGCTGAAAAGGTGCCGCCACTTAGAAAAATGGTCCGGCCTACCCAAAGGAGGCCGAAACCTGAAAAAATCGAAAAAAAGGCCCGTTAGGCCTTTTTCCTTTAAGTAAAATTGCCCCTTGGGCATTAGGACCAAAGGGGACAGCCTTTGTGAAGTGAAAAAGAGGTCGGGGTAGGCCAAGGGGCAATCTGAGTTGGTACCAGCCACTCGGACTGCATGAACCTGACCAAAAAGAGGCCCACGTACCTCCGGAGAGGCCTAGAAGTGAAAATTGGTCTCGGGGGTACCTCGGTTCACCTTGGGGCACTTGGGAGGTCCCAAGGGCTAGACGGACTGTTGTTTCCAGACTATATAAGCTAGGGAATCGGTCCGCCACTCTCACACTTGCATGAGGAGTGCCCATGCTGCCCAAATGAGCCCGTGGGAGCTCTAGAGGCAATTTGAGAGTAGTGAGGGAAACCCCTGCCAGTCCGGAGGTTTAGAAGTGATTATGAGCTAGTTGGGGAGGCTCTACAAGCTAGACGTAGTGAAGGAGGTAGTCCGCCATAGCCCGAGGCAAGAAGAGAAGAAGGAAAGACTGAGAGGAATCCCGCTAACCTTCCTAGAGGGGAGGACTCCCTAGTCTTAGTGATAGGAGCCTGTGGGTACTCGAAGGAGGTAAGATAGGGGGAAGGAAAGGCTTGAAGAGGGAGGTAGCCATAGCCAAAAAAAAGGAAGCTTCGGCAAGAAGGAGGCATCCAAGGGGGTGAGTGAAAAAGTGTCTTCCTCCTCCTTCTTCTTCTTCTTCTTCTTCTTCTTCTTCTTCTTCTTCTTCTTTCCCTCCTTCTTCTTCCTCTTCTTCCTCTTCTCCCCCCCTTTTCTTCTTCTTCTCCTTCCCCTCCATCTCCCTCCCTCTCCCCCCCTACTATCTCCTCTTCTTCCTACGCCTTCCCCTTGTGTTGTTGAGCTAAGTCTTTGTTTTTTTCTCTCCTACTCATTTCTCTACTTGGTTGCAAATCGAACTCATATCTTGATGATATGTAAAGTTTGAGTGTTGATTCATGCCTGTTTTGTCCATTCTAGCCTCTCCTTGTTAATTGCAATCCTTTCCCTTGTGTTGTTTAGCTAAATCTTTGTCTTCTTCTCTCCTAATCTCTCTCTCCTACTCATTTCTCCACTTGGTTGCAAATCGCAACTCATATCTGGATGATGTGTAGTGTTTGAGTGTTGACTCATGCTTGTTTTTTCCATTCTAGCCTCTCCTTGTAAATCGCAATCCCTCCCCTTGTGTTGTTGAGCTAAATCTTTGTATTTTTCCCTCTCAATCTCTCTCTCCTACTCATTTTTTCACTTAGTTGCAAATCGCAACTCATATCTTGATGATGTGTACTGTTTGAGTGTTGATTCATGCTTGTTTTGTCCATTCCAGCCTCTCCTTGTGAATCGCAATCCTTCCCCTTGTCTTGTTGAGTTAAATTTTTGTCTTTTTCTCTCCTAATATCTCTCTCCTACTCATTTCTCCACTTGGTTGCAAATCGCAACTCATATCTTGATGATGTGTAGTGTTTGAGTGTTGGTTCATGCTTGTTTTATCCATTCTAGCCTCTCCTTATGAATCGCAATCCTTCCCCGTATGTTGTTGAGCTAAATTTTTGTCTTTTTTTCTCCTAATCTCTCTCTTTTACTCATTTCTTCACTTGGTTGCAAATCGCAACTCATATCTTGATAATGTGTAGTGTTTAAGTGTTGATTCATGCTTGTTTTGTCCATTCTAGCCTCTCCTTGTGAATCGCAATCCTTCCGCTTGTGTTGTTGAGCTAAAGCCTTGTTTTTTCTCTCCTACTCTCTCTGTCCTACTCATTTCTCCACTTGGTTGCAAATCGCAACTCATATCTTGATGATATGTAGTGTTTGAGTGTTGATTCATGCTTGTTCTGTCCATTGTAGCCTCTCCTTGTGAATCGCAATCCTTCCCCTTGTGTTGTTGAGCTAAATCTTTGTCTTTTTCTCTCTTGATCTCTCTCTCCTACTCATTTCTCCACTTAGTTGCAAATTGCAACTCATATCTTGATGATGTGTATTGTTTGAGTGTTGATTCATGCTTGTTTTGTCAATTCTAATGTCTCCTTGTGAATCGCAATCCTTCCCCTTGTGTTGTCGAGCTAAATCCTTGTCTTTTTTTCTCTTACTCTCTCTCTCCTACTCATTTCTCCACTTGGTTGCAAATCGCAACTCATATCTTGATGATATGTAGTGTTTGAGTTTTGATTTATGCTTGTTTTGTCCATTCTAACCTCTCCTTGTGAATCGCAATCCTTCCCCTTGTGTTGTTGAGCTAAATTTTTGTTTTTTTTCTCTCTTAATCTCTCTCTCCTACTCATTTCTCCACTTGGTTGCAAATCGCAACTCATATCTTGATGATGTGTAGTGTTTGAGTATTGATTCATGCTTGTTTTGTCCATTCTAGCCTCTCTTTGTGAATTGCAATCCTTCCCCTTGTGTTGTTGAGCTAAGTCTTTGTCTTCTTCTCTCCTAATCTCTCTCTCCTACTCATTTCTCTACTTGGTTGGAAATCGCAACTCATATCTTGATGATGTGTAGTGTTTGACTGTTGATTCATGTTTGTTTTATCCTTTCGAGCATCACTGTGACTGTGTGAAACGCAATCTATCTCCTTGGGTTGATGAACCCAATCCTAGTTTTTCTCACTCATAATCTCTCTCTCCTACTCAAATTTTTATTTGGTTGAAAAGCGTAGCCCTTGGGTTGATCTGTACAGGGAATAGGGGGGTGTAGATGGCTTCCAAACTTGTCATTTGGCTGTTCTAAGTGCTTGGGTGGGTTGTGATTCCTCCCATGATACTTCGCTGATGTTTCCCCTGGGTAGACTTCTGTTGGCATTGTCATTTTGTTGTTCTAAGTGCTTGGGTGGGCAGCGATTCATCCCATGATACTTCGATGATCTTTCCCCTGGGTAGATTGTTGTTGGCATTGTCAATTTACTGTTCTAAGTGCTTGGGTGGGCTGCGATAAATCCCATAATATTTCACTTATCTTTCCTCTCGGTAGATTGTTGTTGGCATTGTCAATTTGATGTTTTAGGTGTTTGGGTGGGCTGCGATTCATCCCATGATACTTTGCTGATCTTTCCCCTGGGTAGATTGTTGTTGTCCAACTAGTATCAAGTATCCAATATGAAGAAAAAGAAGAAGTCTGAAGAAGAAGAAGAAGAAATCTTAAGAAGAAGAAGAATAAATTTGAAGAAGAAGAAGAAGAAATTTGAGGAAGAAGAAGAAGAAGACAGTCGAGGAGGAGAGGAAGAGAGAGGGGACTCGCGACGGGAGGGAGGAGAGGACCCCCGGCTCCCAGTACCTCAGGCGGCTATGGCCGCCAATATGCTCAGTCCCGCTGCTGCTGCTCCGCTCGCTGCCGCTGCTGCTCCTCGCACTCCTGCGCTAAGAATAGCGCTAGCGCTCTAGCGCTAACCATAATGCACCGCATAGACTGTCTGTGGTTCGATGGCCGGAGTGAGGCCGGACCGGTACCTTTGTACCGGTGGGCAGAGGCCGGCCTCTATGCTGCGAGGCCTGGCCGTGCCCTGAACCGTCCAGATGGACGGTTCAGCCCCAACTGGCGGGCGGCAGCCTCAAGAGCGCCGCCAGGCCCAAACGGTAATGTCGTTTGGGCCTGCCCGTCGGGTCTGGTCCAAGATGAGGCCTTTACGGCCTGTAGTCCCCAAGGTCGGGCCTTTAGGCCCTAATGTGTCCCTCTGGCCCTAAGTGTGGCGTCGAAGATGTAACACACTCCCCCTCTTAAAAGACCGAGCTACTTGTGAGGGCGAAGTTGTTTGTCCGATACCGGGATGGGTCGGGTGGGACGAGCTGCTTCCTTGGCAAGGCATCGCTTCTCATAGTAGGCGAAGATAAGGGGTGCAGAAGTCTGCAAGTCTGCACTAGAGATCCACCGAGTGTCGTCAGGCGCGCATTGCTTGAATGTGACTTTGTACTGCATTGGCTTGTTGCCATACTTGCGGTGCATGATGACTCGGTCTACTTCCTGATGTCCGTCCATAGAAGGCGGATCCTGTGATCGACGACCGGGAAACTCGTTGGCGGAAGGTAGCGTGTAGATGGCCAGCTTCGATGCGTGGAAGACCCGGTGCACTGGAAGGTGCGGAAGAATGTTGACCACAAAGGAAGGACCTGCGGGGTCGTCTCCAACGGTAGAAGTGACTTCCCATGGTCCGAACCATTTCGGAAGGAGTTTGCGCGAAACGTCCTGCTCGAGCGCAAATTCCTCGGAGAGGACCCAAACAAGGTCTCCCTCGTGGAAAGGACATGGAAGTCGACGTCGGTTAGCTTGTTGTTGCATGCGGATTTGAGCCTTTTGCGTATTCGCGTGGGCTTTGATCAGCAAGTCCCGGTACTTCCGAACAATAGTGGGAGAGCAAGGGACGTCTATGTCGGCAGCTTGTGGCAAAAGGAGATCAACAAAGATTCGTGCTTTCTCTCCACCATGATGTAGCTCGAATGGTGTGACGCAGATCACCGGGTGCACCGAAGTGTTATAGGCGAACTCGATGTCGGGAAGCCGGTCAACCCAATCTTTCTGGTCGGGACGGATGAGTGTACGCAACATCATCTGAGGGGTCTGGTGCGCTCGCTCCGTCTGGCCATCCGTTTGCGGATGTCGAGCCGAGCTCGGTTTCATTGTCATATCGGACTCAGCCATGAGGGAAGTCCAAAAGGCCGACATGAAGCGAGTATCTCGGTTGCTCACTATGTCTTCCAGAACACCCTGGTTGGTAATCCAACCGGTGTGCAAGAGTCGTGCGAGCTCCAACGCTGCAGCATGATACTTGCAAGGAAGAAAGCGAGCGTACTTGCTCAAACGGTCAACAACTGTGAGAATGCCGTCATGGCCATTTCGGCGTGACAAAATGACCCAAGTACTCAAGCTCCTGCTTGGCGAACTCGCACTTGTCGAGATTCGCTTTGTGCTTGGCTAGTCGCAAACGATCCAAAACAGCGCGAAGGTGTACGATGTGCTCGTCCAACTGATCTCCACTCTTCGGATTCTGCATCACATAATCAATCCTGCTAACCATTGTAACTGTAAATGATCAGTGTAGGTTGATATCATAGTACAAAATGTGAATTGACTCTGTTTTTTGTTCGGACTCTTCACGTATAGTCTCTGAGGATCCTACACAGACATATGTTGGTTTCCTGCGGATTATCCATTGTATATTGAAATTCATTCAATAAATAGGTTAGGACTTTCCCGCATATAGTGAAGTAATAAGGTCAGAGATTACTCGTCTGACACGACAATGAGTTTACCACTTTCATCGGCGAACAACCGAACCCTTGGAACCTCGACCTTCCACCATTACTGATGGGGTAAGACCGTCCTACTATACACCAAGATGCCGTCGAGGTAGATGATGATACTGCGATTGAGCAAGTCGCGAAACTCAGTCGTCATAGCTGCTTGGAAAGTCGCGGGGGCATTGGTGAGGCCAAATGACATGACAACCCACTCAAAATGCCCGTACCGCGTCTTGAACGCGGTCTTGTACTGATCTTGAGCTGGATTTCAATCTGGTGGTAACCCGACTTCAAGTCCAACTTCGAGACGTACGTCGCGCCGCCTAACCGCTCAAGGAGATCATCGATCCGAGGAAGAGGGCCGGCGTTCATTACGGTTTGTGCGTTAAGTTCTTGATAATCGATGCATAACCGTAGATTTTTGTTCTTCCTCCGGACGAAGAGAGCAGGTGCACCGTATGGCGAGCAACTAGGACGAATCCAGCCCTTGTCGAGAAGRTCATCGAGTTGTGCGCGAAGCACCTCGAGTTCCTCTTCGCTCATGCGGTAGATACATCCACGCGGAGGGACGGCGCCAGCCTCGAGAGTGATCCCGTGACGTATGGGCCGATCCGGAACCGTTCCGGTGGGAGCCTCGAAGACGTCTCTATACTCGTCCAAGAGGTGAGAAATTCGTGGGTCCAGCGGTGACGCGGTTGGTCCGTCCGGCGAGGGGAGAGCATGCAAGAATACAAGGTCCATCTCCTCGACGTCATTCCGAGCTATGGCGTCGCGAATTCTTGCAACGGAAACCACGTAACAAGCAATCGAAGTGTGAGGGGTCGCGACCGTGCATGGGACTAACACTCCGTTCCGATCACGGATGTGAACGGTTCGGTCATGAAAGTTCACCGGATGATCGGCGCTACGCAACCAAGACATGCCTAGAATCATGTCGAACTTGGTGTCGAGGATGTCAAAAGACACCGGCTCGCACGCAACTGGCGCAAAGTATACCGGAACGTCGTCGACGCATCGGTCAATTGACTTTTGCGTGTGGTCGTCCATGAGTGTAACTTGCGTAGGTTGCATCTTCCTTCGAACGTGCGGGCCAAGACCTGCGCGGGCCATAAAGGCTTGGCTCATAAAGTTGCGAGATGCTCCGCAATCAATCAAGGCACTACAGGTTGCCTTTCCGATTTGAATGCGGATATAGAGCAAAGGAGTGCCGGTTTCGACGTACCTTTGGGTGGCGTGCTCGCGGTCAATCTTCGCAAGATAGGAGCGGAGATCGACAACCGCTACTCCGTCATCCGTCAACGGAGCTGGTACTGTGGTGTGCAAATAGGAGCGTAGATTTGCCATCAAGGCATTGCAATGCGGCCTTGGCAAGGTTCTGGTTGAGGGTAGAGGCATCCAAGCGAAGTCCTCTCTCGTGAACAGGTCAAGCTCCTCAAGTCTTGACCACGCCGTTGAGTCCTCAGAAATCAGTGGCGAACTGACCGGATCACTTGCCGACGGTGTACAGGTTGCGCATACGCAATCTAAGTGCACGTGGCTCGATTGGTCTAGTGGTGGTACCAGCTGGGCGGCATAATCCTCATACGTAGCACGAGAATCAGCAACTAACGCATGCTCCCCGGTAGTGATATCGATTGCTAGCAAGGCAACTGGGTCCGGCGGAGTGAGGAGAGACATCGCCCCTCTCCTTGCGTAACTCAGTTTCCCGAGTTTGTTGGACGGGGTACATGTGCCTTGCCCTTTTCGGGGCATTGTGCGGTCAAATGAGTGACCCCACGAAGGTCATAGATTTTCTTGGTTATCTTGTATGTCGTCCACGGCTGCTGTCCAGTTCCCATCGATGTCGTCTCTTGTGTCGCCTTGTTCTTCCGAACTCTCTTGGGACGCTTCAGCAGGAGCACTGTTACAATTCTTCCATCACTTGAGGATGCTTGCAGCGTGGAGATCGATTGTTTCTTCCGAAATCACGGCATTGTTATGCGCTGGTCATTGATAGCCTTGCTTAGCCACATAATGCGGCTGGGACTGCCGTTCGTTTGCGGCCTTGTCATCCGTTTGGATAACCAAGTTCAGACGATCCAGGATAGCCTGGAATGAGGCGTAATCGTACTCGTTGCCGAGTGCGGTTCGCAGTCTTGCGCACGATCGCGAGAAGAACTCGGATCGTTCGTTTGTAAAACTCAAATCGAAGCGTGGCGTGGTCACTATCTTCTGCCACTTTACTGTCCAGTCTCGAGTTGGCATGTTTCCTTGTGAGCATGTGTCGACCTCGTTCATGGCCGCCTTTACGACGTTGCGGACCATGAAGTGAGTGAACCACAGCTGTTCAAACTCCTCCCACGTGAGGTGTTTGTGTAGCTCGGCGATCGTGGTCTTCTTGTTGACTGCGAGGTGGTTCATCCAGGCTTGTGCCCCTCCAATGAGTTGGAGGTATATGGCCTTCATCATGTCTTCGACTGGGACCTTGTGGCATGATGCTTCCGTGAGGAAGGCTTGCCACCATGTCAAAGCGTCGGTCTTGTTGTACTCCTCAAACTTGTCGATGTTGAACCGTGGCATCTTGTATACCTTCGCAGCTGCTGCCGGTTGCGACAACGGCTTGGTGATGTCCGTCTTCATGGCGGCCACCGTGCTGCTGATCGTAGTTGGACCGGTGAAATCACTGAGTTCGCCGATTAAACTGACGACATGGTCGATGCGCTCATTGAGCTGTTTCGCCGTGTCCGTCGTGCAGTTTGGCGCTGCTGAGGCCTTAGCCTCGATGCTGTTGATGCGTGCGGTGGTGGTGCTCAACAAATGTTGCTGTTGTTGCTGATGTGTGGCGACAGCACGAACAGCAGTTGTTAAGGCTGCAGAATCATTCTGCTGAATCTGTCGCAGTTGTCTTCCCTCGTGTATTTGCACCATTAACATCGTATTGTTCCACATGATCGCTCGCATCATATTCAACATCAGGTTAGCCAGGTTGCTCCTTTCTTCCTCCGCCGGTGTCGGATCCGCCTGTGTATCCGAAGGCACAAACAGCATGCCTTGGAGCAGTGTTGTCCACTTACTCTCATTCACAGTCAAGGACTCCATGCAAATGGCGTTCCGCTTATCTCGCACCACGAAGTCATCCTCAGCAGTCCGCTGAGCTTGGGCTGCCGCCTCACTAGCCAGCCGCTGACATTCCTCCTCTGCTGCCTTTTGTACCTTTGCGGTAGCTACGGCATCCGTGAATGCCTGTACTCGCTGAAAGTAAGCCGCCAATGGCTCACTGGCCCCTTGGACCGGGCATGGGGGAAGAACCCCGGTGGTAACCGACACTGTCATTGTTGTACTTGATGCTGCTGGAGTCTTCCGCTTGCTGAGTCGCTGAGCCTTGGTTCGGGGAGGTACCACAGAGCGGGCACGAACTGCAAGCCTGGCACTGCGTCGTGGCAGTGCCCCRRTGTCCTGTTYCATCGACATCAGTGTSAACTKATGTGGTACTTGAGAGGTCCCKGTGGTCACAGATTACGGGGAGGGTAGGGAGAGTGGGAACAGGGGTAGAACAATCAAACAATTCGCATACAGTCCCCTGTCCCACTGATGGACTTAAGACACCTAATCAACAGAAAAAATAATTTTCCCGTGAACAATTCAAAAATTCGTAATAAGAAAATAATAACGATTTATTTAATCAATAAAGTTTAATTAATGATTGATACGAAATAATAATTCTTAATGATAATCACATAAAACAATATTTGCAACAATGTTTGCAATAATGAATAATAATCACTAAAACAATCTTTGCAATAATGATAATGAACGAATTTCAATTGTGTCCAGATTAGGTATCCATTGAGATCATCTTTAATCCGGGAGTTCACCGTTAATTAGTGAACTACCCGGAAGTTGCAATTCTGAGGGTCAGCTACGGATTAGTTTGCCAAATAAAAAATTCGGAAAAAAATCAGAAGAAAAACACTCGAATTTTCAAAAACGTGAAATTTCGGGAGATTCCACCGTCAAAATCCGATTTTTAAAGGCCTGAGTCCGTTTCCGTAATTTCTCAAACAAGGGAGAAAAAAAAAATAATTCGCGAAAATTTCGGAGTCCAACCCTAATTTTCCGCAATTCCGCGGAATTTCTGGAATTACGGTTCCAAAACGTTCGAATTTCCCAAGTTGATTGAAAACCAAAATTTTCATAAGCCTACTTTCCAATACTAAAGGAAAACGGAAATACCAAAAGAAAAACGAAATGTAAGATTTACAACATAATGCCGAAATTAAAAACGGGATGCTGAATGGAAAACAGAATGCCGAATTTCAACAAGATACTGATTCAACCCTAATAACGTTTTAAAATCAGAAATCCGAATCTAACAAATTATCGGATTAGTATCAATTAATCGGAACCCAAATAAACAGCATACCAGAATAAAACAGAAATCCAAATTACAAGTCCGAATACCGAATTGAAAAGGAAATGCCGAAATAAATAGAATACCGAAAAAAAGAAAAAAATTTGCAACTTTGAACTCAATAGTAATACAAAGCTGATTAGGACGATCAAAGAACCAATCTATACCTAATCAGACTTACCTGGTGAGCAGATCCGTGAAATGGTCTGCTCCGATACCAAAACTGTTACATACTTCAATGAGTACGGGCAGAACCAAAGATAAACCAATGTAGGATTGACATATATGCAGCGGAAGTCTGATAAACGGACTGACTCACATAGACTGACTCACACAGATATCACTCCACAAACATACAATCGTGAGATGGTGGGGTCTGGGCCAAGCATAGACGATGCCCAAACCTCGTACACACATACACAAATGAGAGGTCGGAGAAGAGACGAAGGAGGTGGGAGATGTAGGAAGCACCAGATGTCACCGAGATAGAAACTTGTATATGGTAATCCAAAATGTCATCGAACAAGATTAAATGTCGCGGACAATAAGTCATCAATGTCGGAGATACAGAGTCCTAATGTAACCGGTATCCAATCTGTGATGCAGCCGAGTATCATCCCAAACAATCTCCAAGTCTCGAACCCGGTAAGTACCACAGCCTCTTACCACGGAAGTCCAACACCGATCTTTGTCCAACTAGTATCAAGTATCCAATCTGAAAAAGAAGAAGAAGAAGTCTGGAGAAGAAGAAGAAGAAGAAATTTGAAGAAGAAGAAAAAAAAATCTGAAGAAGAAGAAGAAGAAGAAGACAGTCGAGGAGGAGAGGGAGAGAGAGGGGACTTACGACGGGAGGGAGGAGAGGACCCCCGACTCCCAGTACCTCAGGCGGCTATGGCCGCCCATATGCTCAGTCCCGCTGCTGCTGCTCCGCTCGCTGTCGCTGCTGCTCCTCGCACTCCTGCGCTAAGAATAGCGCTAGCGCTCTGGCGCTAACCATAACGCACCGCATAGACTGCCGGTGGTTCGATGGCCGTAGTGAGGCCGGACCGGTACCTTTGTACTGGTGGGCAGAGGCCAGCCTCTATGCTGCGAGGCCTGGCCGTGCCCTGAACCGTCCAGATGGACGGTTCAGCCCCAACCGGCGGGCGGCAGCCTCAAGAGCGCCGCCAGGCCCAAACGGTAATGTCGTTTGGGCTTGCCSGTCGGGTCTGGTCCAAGATGAGGCCTTTACGGCCTGTAGTCCCCAGGGTCGGGCCTTTAGGCCCTAATGTGTCCCTCTGGCCCTATGTCGGGTCCGGCAGGACCCGTGTGGCGTCGAAGATGTAACATCAACCCTTCTTCTTCCTCCATCGCCTACACCCATCCGCCATAGCCGATCACCTCAACCCTTCTCCCACCTCCATCACCTACACCCATCAACTATAGCTAACCAAGCCAACCCTTCTTCCACCTCCATCACCTACACCCATCCACCATAGCCAACCGCCTCAACCCTTCTTCTTCCTCCATCACGTACACCCATCCACCATAGCCGACACCCGAACCCTTCTTCCACCTCCATCACCTACACCCATCCACCATAGCCGGCCAACTCAACCATTCTTCTTCCTCCATCACCTCCACCCATCCACCATAGCCGACCACCCCAACCCTTCTCCCTCCTCCATCACCTACACCCATCCACCATAACCAGCTACTTCAACCCTTCTTCTTTCTCCATCACTTACACCCATCCGCCATAGCCAACCACCTCAATCCTTCTTCTTCCTCCATCACCTCCACCCATCCACCATAGACGACACCCCAACCCTTCTCCCTCCTCCATCACCTACACCCATCCACCATA